TCCAATGTTATTATTGCATAGAATTTGTCACCAGAAATATTGTATATACGTTATTTATAAACTTTAACACAAATTATAAAATATATTTGAATCCTTGAAATATTTGGTATCAGTCAATCTATTTCATGAAAGTTTCAGTCTTTCAGAATTGTGTAAATAGTATGTGTTGTGTGAATAGGTAGTTCAGAGGTTTATGGAGTAGATTTCAAGAGATGTAACCAAAATATTACTTTAGCAGACCACCCCTCAATTTATTAAGCTTCCTACACTCCTGCATGCATATTAACCAATCGATGAGTAAAATCATCTGGCATTAGACAGAGTAAAATAATAAAGGTGCATCTACCGGTACTGCGAATCACATAATTATTTTTAGTTTATACCACTGTGTCCAATATTTCCCAGAAGGCAAAAACTCACAACAACACAACCAGTATCAAAACTAACATATTTTTATTTTTCAGGAAATCTATGCAAAACTTTAAAACAAATAGACCTTTTCGGTAATTACGTCACTGTTTTTAACTTAGAACCACCTTCAATTGAATAGATTTCAAGCTTGTTTCTCACGGGCTGTGAAGCAGAACATCCTTCGTCAACACATTTAGATTTTGACTATTAAATGTGGAAATAAGCTTAAACATGAAAATAAGGCTGAGGGGCCCTCAGCCTCGTTTTCGTGTTTAAGCTTATTTTCACATTTATTGGTCAAAATGTAAAATTCTTTTTTATGCATGTGTTGAAGAAGGATATGCTGCTCCTCTGACTATAACCCATGGGAAACAAACATAAATCCATTCCATTTAAGATGGTCCTAAGTTGAAAACAGTGTTAGTCATGTCGACGTAATTACCGAAAAGGTCTATTAAGAACTGCCCTATTTAAATGCTTCATCCCACAATGTTAATAAATATGAAAATGGTAGTTTTTGGCATCACATACAATGCACAATATAACAAACGAGCAATATCAACTTTTTAACATGATAATAAATTGAACAGGGTTCAAAACAATGTTCAGGGTTAATCCTGCATGTTTTCATCACTTCCATTATCTTGTTGCATCACTTTACGAGGGGTTTCATTTGACATTGGAATATAAACACAGGGGTTGCTGGCATGTGACGGCATATACTGAACTGGGTATTGGTAGAACATATTTTTATTCACGGGATGTGGTGGATGACCATGACTAAATCCATGTGATAGCATTGCATTTGACCGAGAAAGCCCTGCACCCATATCCAAAATGGTCTTGCTCACATCTTGTATACCTTGTGCAAAAATTGCCAACGAATCCTTCAATGACTGTGTCAAATCTTTTCTAAATTTTGCATCGTCTTTAGCCTCTTCGAACAGCATTTTGTCACGATGCTTTCTTTTATTATCAATTAGCTGTGGCACACAGCTGGCTCTCCTTTTTTTGGCTGACGTTGCCGAAATAGTTTTAGTTTCCTCAGTATGATAATCTTCAACTGGCAATGGTGAAACATTCAACTCCAGTGACAGTGTTGTTGCATTAGAGAAATCATTGATATCTTGCTCATTGAAAATATCTTGTTCGTCCTGTTCAAAATCACTTTCCTGTTCGAAACAATCGCTTCCAACACCATATATCAAGGCAGATACATTGGCTGAGCCACCCCACAGCAATACCACTGTTTGTCATACACAATCTTTCCACAACCACTTCTTTTACCAGATATCACTGCCTTTGAGAAACACTGCCTAATTTTTCCTTCACCTTTTCCATCACTCTCTTCGTTCCTTTGCCAACCAGTTCCTTGGATACTTTAACTCGCTCTTTTGCCAAATCTTTCTCTTCTTTTGGCATTTCATCAAAACTCTCAGGCAATAGACCTTTATAAAAAGGTTGACGTCAACAGGCTTGTGACATAGTTTGCGAAGGAAACCCGAAAGCTCAGAGACAGAGTTGTTTACTTGTTTTGAGTTTTTAAAAGCCAAAAGAAGCCAATTATGATGGTAAGTTTGAAGTAAATGTTTCTATATATAGGCCAAATGAGTTTTCATATTCGTCATAGTTTAAATTTTATTTGTTTTTATATTAGATTGTACATTGATTATTTTATTGCCAACATTTAGCAAATTGTTCGCTCGGTTTGTTTACATATTTCGTTGCTAAAAAGTATAATTTTTCTTTTTTGTTTCTCAAATTCATCAGTCTAATAATCAGAATAATAGTGGTTGGGTTGGGTTTATTAATACACGTTCAATAGCAAAAAGCTAAATTACAACGTGTTTACATCGTCAGATATTAATTAGAATTATTTAGAATTATTACTTACTTAAAACTATTTACATCAATGGACCTATATGTATATTAAAATCATTTATATATATATATATATATATATATATATATATATATATATATATATATATATATATATATATATATATATATATATGGAATTGTATAAATATGTATATAAATCTTACTTATCTAATTTAAAATTATATTCATTAATAGCATGAACTACAGGGCTGTTTCTAAAACGTTCAGTGTTGCAAAAAAAGTTATAAATCTTTTCGCCATTTGTCCTAGTCTCTCTTTCCCTAATGTCACTCAGTTTCTTTGGCAATAGTCCGTGAAGTCTGTGTGATGGTTGTAACATGTCCTCAATTAAGGAGGCACATAAATTGTTTCTGCGTTCTTCTAAGGTCAGCAGATTGCTCTGAGATAATAGAAGTCCATAATCACAAAGGCCAGGATAAATTATTCGGAGGGCTCGTTTTTGGATTCTTTCTATGTTTTTCTTATGCATTTGTGTCAGACCACCACTCCAGATTTGTGCACCATACTCCAGAACAGAACGAATTACTGTACAATAGAAAGCTAATAGGTCATTTTTTGGTGCACCATAACTCTTTAAAATCTTCAAGAGGTAAAGTCGCTTAGCGCCTTTTTTTACAATATACTCAGTGTTGGTTTTCCATCTCATGTCATCGTCTATCCATATTCCTAACAATTTATACGACTTTACACGGGATATTTTATCGTCGCCAATATTAATCAGTGGTATTTCTGTTTTCTTCTTCCGAAAATCAATTAGCATTTCTTTACATTTTTTTCCATTCAGTTCCATACTCTCATCCTTTGCAAATTGCACTACGTTATTTACACTTCGTTGGGTGTTACCAATTGGGCTACCAGATGAATGTTGAGTTATGGTAATGACTTCGGACAATGTACTATCATCAACGAACATAGCTATATCTTGATCATCAGATGCTTCACATATCTGTTCCTGCTCATTAGGTATAGCGACTTGTGGGAGATGGTTAATTTTTAGGATAAATGCTATTGGACCCAGCTTGCTACCCTGTGGGACTCCACCCCTGATCTTTCGCAGGTCTGATTGCTCACCTTGAAATGATGTAAATTGCGATCTGCCATGTAGATAGGACGCAAACCAACCCACTAATGCGGGCCGTACACCGATTCCAGTGAAGGTCTCAAGAAGCTTGTTGTGATCTACAAGATCAAACGCCTTCCGAAAATCAAGAAAAACAATTCTAATGACCTTTCCTGGAGTGTGCATTGCCGAGTGCCATTTATGCAGTAAGTAGATCAAGGCTTGAACTGCAGATGTACCAGGAAGGCCGCCAAACTGGAATTCACTAATTTTTTCCCGAACATCTTCATAAATCCATTTGGTGGCGTATGACTCTTGGACTTTGGACAAGGTACTTGTTAGTGCAATTGGTCTCAGAAGATCTACTGAACAGCAAGGCTTGTTCTTTGGTATTCCACACACCTTGGATACTTTCCATATATCCGGGAAGAGCCGACAAGAAAAGGACTCATTAAATATGTGTGTTAGAGGCCCTGCAAAGTATTTTGCAAATAGCTTGATTATCTTTGTGTTAGGGTCAAAGGGACCCACTGCTTTGTTTACTTGAAGGCTGCTTAGCTTGTTCACAACGCTGTCAAACGTAATATATGGTAAGGGTTCATAGGGTCCAACATGAAGCCATTCACTTCTTACTTCTGAAAAGTCGCTAGTGAGGTTAGTAAAAAAATCGTTCATGTGACAAGCGGTCTCTTTCGGGTCTAATGGAGCCTCAGTTGCAGGATTAATGAGAGTAAAGCCTTGTTGTTTCTTTCCAACTGTTTTTTTAATGTTTTTCCACCATGTTTTGGGATCTTGGACACGGGCAGGTTTAATCTTTTCGTGGTATAGTTTATGTTTTCCTTTCGAATTTCCAAAACGATTTTATTACGCAATGATTTAAAATCGTCAGTTCTTCCCCGCTGATACAATTTGTCTCTTTTGGAAATAATTTGTTTAATTTTTCCAGATATAAACAGTTTATCGTCCTCATGCACTTTAAATGTTTTCAACGGGAAAACAATATCAATCATCTCTGATGTAACAGACAGAAAGGCATCTACTTTGCCATTTATGCAAGGAGAGTTATATACCATTGGCCAGTTTTGCCGGCTGATAAGATCTTCAAATAACTGAAGACTGGAGTTCTTTATCGGTCGAGTAATGATTTTCCTTGTTATGTTCTTATTCACTGTTCGAACTCTTGGTCTCCAAACGATCATGCAGTGGTCAGAACTACCAAGCGGGGCAAGCACCTCCGGTTCCTCATATAAAGTGTGA